TCATATTCGTCCAATTTTAAGGAAAATATCTTATTTTTCTAATTCATTAAAGGTACTTGGACACAGATTTGAAGTTAATATTTTCTCATTTTTTCTGTATAATATCACGAATTATATATTTTAATAGCATTTCACACAAAAATCATTTCATTTATATTAAGTTATTAAAACTTTTAATATTTTAGTTGGTTTGATTGACACATCCTTGCACTTTCACAAATGTTAACTTTATTCTTAATCCTTAGGAAAAGTGGCAATTTTGATGTGTTTTAATGAGAAATATTAAAACTTTTATCAAGAAAAATAATTTTATTCAGAGTAGAAATGTTAGAAAGCAAAACATCTTCACAAGTATCGTCATTCCGAACTAAGAGATGCTTACAGAGTTTAGCAAATCGAGCACACTCGTGTTATGTACACAGTTTTTGTAAACAGGGCTCGAGTTCTCTTACTGTTTATATTTAGAATTCACCGGGTGCGTTCAATTGTCACAGTTTGCTTACCACAACTGCACGGACTGACAATATATTGTGTGTTTCTTTTGCTTTCAAACGTGTCTACTCTGAATTTTCTGGATTATAGTATTAATATTTTTCATTTATACAAAACGAGATTGCCACTTTGCCTAAGGATTAAGAATAAAATTAAATTTGTGAGAGTGCAAGGATATGTCAATCAAACCCGCTGAAAAATTTGAAATTTCAATATCTTTTAAACGAAATAAGATTTTTAATTAATTTTTGTGTGAAATGCTATTAAAATATATAAGTCGTCATATTATAGAGAAAATAATGATTTCAAATCTGTGTCCAAGTACCTTTAAATACATGTACATGTACAAATGTTTTTTGAATGAACTCACAGATTTGGGCAAGATGGCTCTGCAAGGTAACAGTTGAATTCTATATTGATTTCCTGACAAGCACGGTCTATGTTAAAATATAAAATAGTAAATACATTTGTTCACAAAATTATCGTATATTTCTCAATTCAAAAAGATTTGTTTAACCCAACCACTTTAATACATCATATATTTGAAAATATGTTATGTTCAGAGTGAGAAATTATACTTACATTTGTATATATCTTTACTGTTGAACGCAGTGTCTGGGCAACCACTCTTAAATTCAGAGCATTCTTTTCGTAATACTTTCCCCTCGTTGGTTTCCAAGCAATTTCCTTCAGAACAATGATAAAACATATTAACTAATACAATTTAGGAATTCCTACTAGAAATTTTGCAAACAAGAATGAACATTGAACGTTTTTACTTAAATTGTAGGATTTGTAAAAAGTCTTATTAAAAGATCATTCCAGTTATTCTCACTTATATGTGGAATATCACGATATTTTTGTCAAAGATAATACAGTTGAATTTCGATCTCTCGAACTCCGATATTTCGAATACTATGGATATGTCGAAGCGGTTTGGAAGTTTCAACCACATAATTATTCTTTAAGTATTTTTACCTTCAATATCTCGAATCTTCAGATATCTTGAAGTTTTTTCTCAGTCCAAAGTTTGATTTTATATCAATTTCTAATAATAATAATTAAAAAAAATTAAAGTCACCCTTTACTATCATCCCCATGATTCCATTATGACATAATTCTACAAGGGCTGTCTTCTTGGTGTTAGGTAAACAAAGGTACTGGTTATTCCCATACTTGTCCCGACTACAGCCCAATCTCAAAGACGCTAAATGGACATCTGTAAGGTTTCTCGGACACAGAAAATCAGACATATCTGTAAAAATAGAATAACTAGTAATTTTCATTATAAATTCAAATATTCAGTATTACCTTATCTTAGAATAATGTAAATTTGATGTTGAATGTTATATTTACTTATTTTTGGTAAGACGTTTGATTTGAAACCAAAAATATTTAATCCTTGTAACAAGAATTTTCATTGGATATAAAAAAACCTTCACCCTTTGACCTTGGAGTTTCACGTACGTTTTACAAATTTTGCCTTTGGCCATAACATTTAAAAGGTAAGGGCCTGTGCTTTCATACTTCCCATATGTAATATTTCAGACAAGGGCTTTCTTTAGAAACCAACATCCTTGACCTTGAATCCGGAGTTTGTCCTACCTTCAAAAATGTTAACCTTGGTCATAACCCTTCAACAGGAGGTGCTAGGGTTTTATATTTTACATTTGTATTTCTTGTGAAAAGGGCTTACTTTAGGTACCAACATCTGCATTTGAGAAAGCTTAACCTTCGCCGCTATATTGCCACATGGGGTATCAGTGTTTCACAAACACATCTTGTTCTACTAGGACATAGGTTTATCAATAGTAAATATCCTCTTTCCATGATTTTCTCTAAAAATCAGAACATACAAGAATATTGGGGGGGTTGGGTTGGGGTTGGCGCTTTTTGTGTATATATGGCATTTGATTGAATTGAATATTTTCACACTTATAACAGACGCAACAATTGTATCTAGCTTATTTCTTTAATAATCTATGATCAGTGGATCATGCATTACATAGCAGATCATTAAGGAGGAACAGGGCCTTTAGCTGAAAAAAATCCTGTCAATGAATTTTTTCTTTTTATATTTTTTATATAACTTATTCAATATGTACTTAACATTTTAAAACGGCCCTGTTATAGGATTTCTTGACTTATTTAAAAGATATCGCCCCACAAATACCGCCATGTGTAGAGTTTGTATAGAGTTTTGATACTTCATGTTTACGGGCCCATAACGGAGTCCATAATCCGAATTTTAACGCACAAACGATAATTATGATAGACAACACTATATACTCAAATATTTCAGAATATTCATAGTGTTTTAATTATCTGAAAGCAATTGTTTTAATTTTATATAGTATTTGGGTGGGATAATTTCTGCATTTTTCAAGGCAGCTTCAACGACAAAAACCTCATTGGGAAAAAAATCTGTCAATAAATATTTATAAATTTACGATTGAATATCAGTCCTTCATCGTAATTATTTACTGCATAAATATCACAGGGTGAAGCTTACCTCAATATCGCACAGAACATCGTTGAATTATGATTCAAGCATGATAAAAACGCTTCACGTTTGTATTTTCCGAGTGCGGTAAATCAATTGTGACGTCACACGAATACATAAGCATTCAAAATTATCTAAATAGAGATAATCTCTGCTACTAAACATGAAATAAATATTAATTTAAAAAAATTTGCTTCAGAAATTTATCACGATACATTGACTGTGACATGATTATTATGAAGTAAAACTGATCATGACGGGTGTGTACTTGATCTCGCTGCACTGAAAATTCAAACACTATATATAGCTACGTCTATGACGTCACTGACGTAAAACTACAGGGTAAAGAGAAACAGATGTGTGGATTGGGCAACTTCACAATACCTAAATGATGGCAAGATCTTTAAAATTTTTATGAATAATAATTTCTAAAATTAAATGTTTAAAAACCAATTTTAGAATTTAGAATAAAATTACACAAGAACTGTTGATTTTAACAACGTTTAACATGTATATCATCACTGATTATGACGTTATATGTCTTTTTAGTCATGTGACATGTGCCCTGTCTCCCCTTAAAGCACCTTTAAAAAAACTCTTGAATGGAATATTTATACTCTAAATTTGAAACCCATTGACACCTTGCAAGATTCCGTGTATTTTGAATTTTCATGAAGTTGTCACTTTAATGATGCATTATCATATTTGCTGCATAATAAAAAGGAGAAAGGACATGACAAAATAAACTTAAAATTAATTTCCTAGACTTACAGGTATAATCATACATGTATCAACAAGTGTAAATATACATGTACTTTTGCTGGATTTTTTTCCCGACAATGTACTTAGGCAACTGTCAAATTGATGTTAAGCATCTTTGTATATATATAGGCAAGGAAATAAATGTGGCGTTATGTACACTTGTGTAGTGGCGCTAAAATGAGACTCCGGAAATGCGTTACGACAGAGAACAGCAATTTGAGGCATCCAAATACCTATTATTGAGTATGTTTTCGATGCCTTTAAACTGTCTAATAAAATCTAAATATTAAGAATGTCTTTAAGCTAAGTATGAATTATTGGGGTGAAAATCACACAGACATGCACGTGTTCATGAACTGCTAGCACGCTTTTTGAAATATGCCTTCGTGACAATTGCAAGTTTGTGTGATTTTTATGTCAATGTCTCATATATATCTTTAGTACATGTTTATACATAAAGATAATAAATTCCGTGAATAACAATTATGGGTATAATATCTGCTATGTATTTAACAATTTAAATATTCAGCTTTATCAAAAAAAATGTCCTCAATCTTTAGGAAATGAAAGCATTCCAATTAAGCTATTTAATCCAGAAACGAAAGTAGAAAGTATGTTTATAAACAAATATGGAAAATACTAACAAACTTCATTTATCTTATTTCCTTACTCTTTTGTCATTGATTTTATTGTAAATTTCTTACCTGTTAAGACTTTTTCAAGGCAAAATAGCCCATTTCATTATTAAAATAAAAACGCAAAAACCATGTATCCTTCACCTTCTGATTAAAATATCCCAGTTAAGCGACACCGTGTAAATCATGAACTGGAGGGTGGAGTTATGGAGTTGAGTCTTGAGTCAATTCTTTAGTCTAATATTTTTTTCAACATGAAAGGAAAATAAGTAATGAAAATATTACATCATTTCTTTTTTGCAGATTTGTTGGCTGTTTATGTCTTGTTGCCATAAATAGATGCGTAATTGATTATATGACCTAATTGAAAATTGCAAGTTTCTGTGTTTTGATTTAGAGAGGATTGCATCAATAGTGACATGAAGCTGACACAATAACTCGATCTTGTTCTTTCAAAACGTCTTGAAATAAAATATAGTAATGAATTCTGACAGGTTATCTTAACATGCTAATTGCACAGATAAATGTATGCAAAATTATTTTACATCAAATACTTAAGCACAAATCAAAAATAGCTATCATCTTCTACGATACACAATTGAAAATAGTACATTTTTTACAGGAATCCGGATGCTCACAAGAAAAACAAAAGCTGTTTGGAAATAAACACAAAGATCAGATTTCTTATTAATTATTTTCTCAATCAATAAAATCAAATGAATTGAAATTATATCTTTATTAGTGTTAGGCATTGAGCTTTAGCTCTAACCTTTACAGTTTAGCTCACCTGAGACATTTTAAATCCCAAGTGACTTTTCTGATCAGTGTTTGGTGTTTATCTGTCGTCTATAAACTTTTTTCAATTTTTTACATTTATCAGAATAATCTTTTTTTTTTAACAAACAAGCTAGTGAATTCATATCCTACAGTAATTTGATCTACCAGGTTGAAAGAACCAATTGTCTTGTAGATCTTCAGTTTATTATTTGTCATATATTTATAGCTGTGTAAATGAAATGGATATCAAATAAATTATATAACTTTATCTTTCAGAAATTTTGCAAGAAAAGTTTGAAGTGTCTGTGGGTATAATCAACATCGAACTTGCTGAACCTTCAAACTAAAAGTGAATTCGTTCGTGACCCCACCCTTTAACACAACGATTTGTTATTTATTTCTTATTGTGAATTTCATGCGATACCAGTGAGGAAGTGATTCTTGCAAACAAGTCAGAAGTTTCGGATCTTCCATAATCAGGATCTTTGGCACGTCGGGGGAAAATACCATCTGTTGATTTAAATGGTATCTTTGTATCAATATAGTTAAGTTGTGTACTTATTGTTGTTTAAATAAAGTCTAATTAGATGTGTCATCAAATCTTTCAAGAGCGTTTAATAGGCTTATACGAGTATAGCAATTTAAAGATAAGAAGGTTGTTTTACAATATTTTACTTTAAAAAATAATTAGATTTAAAACAACTTAAATACCGCTATTATCATGATCGTATCAGTTGGTTCACTTGACCATTTCATCCTTGGATTAGAAGTTAAATAGCGATAACCATACTAATTTTAGGTTGTCACTCTCTCACCCTTAGAAAAAAAAACAAAAAAATAGGTATGGATCATATCAGATATGATTTTGTACCATGCAGTTTATCCTTCATAAGCGTTTGAGTAAACTGTCTGTTTTTAATTGAAAGTAAAAGCTCTGTGAGAAAACATTGGCTCATAGAGAAAACTCCATCCAGTTTCAGAGATGCTGTTTAAATTGTGATTGATGACAATCTAGGTTTGATGTAGGTGAGCTTACTAATTTCTTACTGTATGCTATACATTGCTTTCTCTAGGATTTTATATAAGTATTATAATCCCTGAACTGGCATCAAAGTCAATTTCTTTCTATCACCTTCTAAACTGATAGCACGGATAGTCATTTATGAACTGTACATGTATGTATAATGCAGTATTATAATACTTAATAATACATTCAAGTTAAGCTTTATCTATATTGATATAGAAACTGCATATATAGCTGCAAATCTAAAGTCTGATTTTGTAGAGAAATCTTTGAAAAATTTTATTTTAATTTGGATTGCATGGAACTACATATACACAATGAAATTATTATGTGAACAAATTTGTAAAAATCAAACAACCTAGTCAAAGTCATTGACCTACATTATTCAGCTTGTTTGGCTGTGGGGTCAAAATACTATACTACAATTTTAACAGACATATCAAAAAAGTAATAACATGAGAAAATTTATAAATTTGTCCACTGCATTTTTCAACTTTCCAATCATGTGCTAAAAGCAATAGGTTGTCATTATTTTTCAACAATTAAACTTGATAAAAACAGAATTGAATGTCACTGTTTTAAGTATCACACTTTTTGGCAATTTTAGGTTCAATGTCTTTGATAAGTAAAGATTTGTTATGAACAGATGTTTAGAGAAATTTGACTGACCTTTATAATTATTGTGAAAGATATTATCATCAACATTGATATTTGAAAATAATTCAATTAAACTTCGAATACAAAAATGTGCGTATCACTAGTACAGCTCAACACACTTTTTAAGCTCACATAGTTTTAAGCACAAATTAAGGTCACATTTTTATAATAAAAATTATATAAAACGTGCTTTCTTTGATACAATGTAGTTGAAATTTTTAAAATTTCTTCTTAAAGGTGAGTATTTTTAAAAATTCTTTGCTCATTTACCATACTCATCTGGGTTTTCTCGAAATCTAGCACCGAAAAGAGATAACATTGCATAAAGGAACCATACTACAGGGAAGGATTATGAAGTATTGTTTATTTTTTTAAATAGTAATTTTTTCTATGAAAAGGAAAATTCTTATGCATTTATCGTTTGAAACGTTAAAATTTTGGTGTAGGGTGAATCTTTCATGATTCTAGATTTTAGAAGGTGATCTGAAAAATGCCACCTTATTAACATACAAAGCAGTAAAACAGATGAAAAATACCATTATTACCCTGTGCTAAAGAGGCAGAATGTACAGAAAATACAAGTTACAGTAGCTGTACTATGCCCGTATCTATGTTTCTGCAAAGAGCTACTGCTTTCAAAAGAACGGACAAAAAGGTAACTGCAATTGGCTAGAAACCACAAAAAATCAAATGAAAATAGTTGTTATTTTTCAGCCAAGAGTATATCAAAGTCCTAGCAATTCATTTGTATGAATTATGTTTTGGTTAATGAAATAAAACTCGAATAATGTAAACAAATACTTGTCAAATGTATTTTGATGTCTCAATACACAATATTACATTATAACAATGTGACCTTAATTTGTGCGAAAAACGATGTGAGCTTAAAAACTTTGTTGAGCTGCGCAGGTAGGTAAAGGTTACAACCAAATATTCTACTCGCCTATATGATATGACGTCATAATAAGCTATATGACGTGAGATTTAGAGATAACAATTTCTTGAAATCGATATCTAAGATTGATTTGAGGTCGTAAAAATGAACCAAAATATGCAGAGGAATAATATCAACGGAATTTTGTCGTTCCTGGGCCTCTGTACATATAGTTATCACAGGGGTTACATACCAAACCCGTGACGTCATAACTGTTGATCATGCAGTAGCAGAGTTAAAGTGAAAAGTAACGAGAATTGATGTAAACAAACACAAGAAATCGGGGTTTTAAAGCATTTAGAATGAATATCATGTGTGATTCTTGTAGGAATAAAGCGTTTGAATAAGGTATGGTAATATAATTCTGCAATTTCTTCGTAAAATTAAAGCAAGGAGGGTGTTTTCTTGCCGATCAGCTTTTCCTCTGTCGTTCGTAACAAAAAAGATGCAAAAGTTCAACACTACGCCGCATACCTTGAAACTTCATTTTTGTTTCTATCTAAAGTTCTTATTCTATTGTTTTTGGAAAGTGCTGCTAGAATCGTATGGTTTACGGGAATTGATGCATTTTTTTCGATGTAATGAACAAAATTTAAAACTTTTGGGAAGGTTTCGTCCGAAATTGTTGAATAATTATTTCTATAAGAGGATGGTAGGATTCTAGCAGCACTTTTCATGGTACAGAGATGTTTTTACATAACTATTAATATAAACTGGAATAGAGTTGGGTATTGCGAGTGAAAACCATATTGCGATATATTGCAATATTTTACGTTGAATATTGCAATATATTGCGATATATTGTAGATTAATCATCATTAATAAATTTGTGTAGAAAGTTTAAAATGCTGTCAAGTTCAACGACTATTTGAATTTTTCTATAAATTTTTAAGGGGGCAGGGGATCGATAAGACATTAATAATTATAACTTTTAATCAAATACCAGGTAAAATATTAAAACAAAATGTACTCATTTTATGTATTTTCAAATTTAGAAAAAAGTTTATGCATAGTATATTCTTTATACGTTTTTTTTTTGGAGGGGGTGGTGGTGGTGGTGGGTGTTTTATTGAAATACCTTTAAATGTAACTTAATGATTAAAACAATACATGCTATATGGAAATTTTATGTGGTCACAGAATAAAATTAAAGCCAGAAAGAAATTGTGACCTATTTTCGGGCGTTTGGTGTTTTAGTCTGACCCGACCTAATTTCACATTATGACATACGATCAGGAACTGCACTAGCCTATTTCTACTGTTTTAATATACATGCTCCTGGTATAGCATGAAGGTGTTTAAAATGGCATGAAATTTGTTTAAAAAATAATAAAAAGCAACACTGTATCAAGAGAAAACATGGATGGCCATATATTTGTATATAAATTATGTAGATCTTGAACTTAACATTCATCTTCGATCGTGTAGATTCAACGAGATTTTGAGAACCACAGTACACATGGTATACACCCTGTAAAAATGTTTTATGTATTTTCTTTCTTAATAATTTTATTTAAAAGTCTTTTTATTAATTATCAATTTTATTTTAAAGTAAGATATTTAAAATTGCGACAGTGAATGAAAAGCTTCCTCTCTCTCTCTTTTCTCTCTATCTGCCTCTGAAAGCTGACGAAGTATTTTTTTAACTAGATTGAAAAGGCCCGGGGAAGTTACCAGTATTATTTCAGCAGTTTCTACAATAAAGGAGGTTTTAATATATTTTTATAAATATCGTGAAATACCGGTATCTGATTTTCATATCGCGATATATTATCGTGGT